TGAAGAGGGCAATGGTTGGACAACTTGATCAAACATAATCGGAGCCTCTCCCCTAAGCCAGCACCCTCACTTTCCCCTACCACACATTGTGCCCAAACTGGGAGCTCCTTCTGAGAGAGGTCTGTACTAGTCAGTGATGCCCTGAGGGGCTGGGGAAGAGATAAAGGTGAGAGGTAGGAGCACCCAAAGTCACCTCCTTTAGGGTCTGATTCCTCCCACACCCAGCCCAAGTCCTCCCCTGGTCCCAGGTTCCACTCACCGGGGGTGCTCAGCCCCAGGAACAAAAACTGCAGGAAGGTGGCCACAGAGGGCCCAGGCAGGGGAATCCTGGCCCACCCAGACCGGGATGTAGTCATGGGTACTGGCTGCACAGTGCAGGGACCAACAGGTACGGAGACAGCAGCTTGGCAGTCCAGGAGCCAGCCAGGCCACTGAAGACTCCAGGGAGGACTCCAGCTAACATCCCTGAGTGTATGCAGGGGTTAGGGTGGTGACCCACAGGGACAAGGGGGCGGGCCATTCAAAGGGGCGGAGAGGTCGCTGTCCTCCCAGGTAGGGAGAAGCTGAGAAGCTCCAGTGACCTGACCACTAGGGAAAGGAAAGGTGGCCGGGGAAGGGTGTGTGCATATCTTCTAATGATCAGAATTCCACAGTTTCTTCTGGTTAGGCAGGAGGGTGAGGGGTGGTTAGTTGTGTCTTCTAGTGCTGGCCTGCAGGACAGTAAGATAAATGGACCCTTGAAAAGCCACTGGAAGCCAGTAAAAAGAGGGCCAGGAAGGGAGAGGAGTTTGGGGATTATCTGAAGGTCAAGAAGCATCCACCTTGACATTGCTAAAGGCCAGGGCTCTGGCCCAATTAACCAGCTGGGGACTTGGAGCCACATCACCTTTAGCTTACTCAGGGAGGCCTCCCTGAGGGTCAAGGGGTAGTAGTGGTGGTAGAGGGTGGCTGTGTTCTTCATGAGCCCTGAGCCTAGGCAGTGTGTGGGATGGCGCATCCAGAAGGGTCCCAAGTGCCTTCTAGAACAACCCATTCTCCTGCCCCATCAACCACTTTCCCAGAGCCAGGGATGGTCCCTTGAACAAGGGCCATGTCCACCTGTGGGTCGGAGAAGGGAGGCGTTGTCTTTCCAGTTCTCTGTATCCCCTCCCATCTGTTCCAATCCTTAGGATAGAACAGAATTCCTCGCAGGGTTTTCAAGGCTGTAACTCTGTACAGAAGTGGGCTCCTCCACACCCCTTCCTAGCAACTGGTGGGTTCCAGGGGTGCTTAACCAAAGCAGCCATGGCTTCTCAGGGTTCTCTGTGGTTCTCCTAAAGCCCAAACCAAGGATTCCCCTGGCCGTGGTGCCTGTTTCCACAAGCAGAAAACAAGAATGGCCAAGAAATGGAGCCGGAAACTAAAGTAATGTTCCTGGCTCTGCCCTT